TGGGCACCATGGTGGTTACATAATATATAAAGAAATTAAGCATAAACTAAATATGTTGGCCTACAGATGGTTAAGTACGCGCACGCGTACACTATAACATAAACATATAAATTGACCATTGTTAATGATTTGGCCCGGCGCGCGCTATACTACTTCGAAGAAATTTAGACGCGTAACATCCGTCAAACATATAAACCATTCCACAGACCACATTTATTAAAATTTTAACTATCCTTCTTCAACTTTGACGGATGTTACGCGTCTAAATTTCTTCAAAGTAGCGCGCGCCGCTTTCTTCTCGAAATGGCCCGATGGCAAGTGCTACGAAGTAGCGCGCGCCGGGCCAAATCATTAACAATAGTCAAATTAAACTATGTGTCGATAAACCATTTTTGTTCAATAATGACCATCAATTAGTGTTGTTACCATCATAAAGTGTGTTTATAATTATGATCTATGGTACATTGTTATTTACCATATTTATATTTTAGGCTGTAACCTTATTAGTTCAATGAAATAAACCTAGCATGCCTTGGTTGCAGCATCGATTCACTTATAGGTGCATATAGGGCCCGATGTAATTGTTATGATCAGTTTACTAGTCAACTGGTGTTTCGGTGTCCCTAATTTTGTTTACACTCTGTCACTTGTCAAGACATGTAAGGTCATTCGGCGATATTTTCTTTAGTAAGTAAGTAAGTAAGCATATAATATGCACTTTGTGATTGTTTCTCCCATTTTTCTTTTCTTGCATTGTAAGCCCTGTCTCTTGTAAAAAGGACCACTTTTGTAGATACACACAGTCTCTACGTCTTTATCCTCTGGTCCCTAGGGTCTGCTGACTCCGGGCCAGAGGAAATTTACCGATTGCCAAGGTTTGATGCCTAGGCAGTCGAGACCTCTTATTGAGATCCGATATAATAATAAATAACCTGTAAACCTGGAGGGATATTATTACTCCTTGTTAGGTGCATCTGCCTTATTTAGTCAGGATTTAATTTGCAGTTATAAACGTCTGTTTTTCTAATAGTTTCACCCCGTCCAAGGCGAGATGCAAAATCTCCACTGTCAATTAGGTATCATTTACAGCTGAGCATAAGGGTTAAGTTTAAATTATTTAAACTGTATAAAAATAACATTAATTTATTATTATTATTATTACTGGGGCTCTGCCATTCTCATAGTATACTCTAAGGCACCATTTAATACATACAGCTCTTACTAAGAAAATATAATTTTTGAGAAAAGACAATTTTATTATTTATCACCAATCAATAAATATTTATCCGAATAAATTTGATTTAAAATTAAATGATACAAGTATGCTAGCAGCTAGCGCGCTTGTATTTAATCAGTATACACGCTGTTAAAAAGGGTCTTACCACACCGCCACTCACATTAGCACAGTTGGTGAAAGGACCCATACCAGGCGCTGTTAAGCTTTTATGACTGCTGAGAGTGGCGACGGGTCTGACATTAATTTTGTATTAGTTTGCATCGTATTCCAGTAAAATTTTAGTTTTGAGTTATATGATTTTGCGATATTTAAGTCACAGCTGCTCGCAACACATTATTGCATAAAAATTGTTAAATATGCTCGCTATACACTTAACTTTTAGAAATTCAAGTACATTTGTCTTTAGAGCAGGTGTTTGAGATGGTGAAGTAGAAGTAAAGCAACCTTATTCAGGATGACTTAAAGTCACTGAGGTAAAGATAGCATTCTTGAACAATTTAGAACACCAGTAAATATTAACATAAACTGAAGTAAATAGATAAATAAGAATCATTACAGATGGTCCCCAATAATGTAACACCTTTGACCTTCCCAACACAGTCTTTTGCATTTAACTTGAAATTGAAGTTTGAACCAGGCCTTATCAAAAGGACTTCTTACTGTTACTGCTTCAGTGTCCAGATTAACACTTAACAGCATTATCTACTACATACTTAGTCTCGTTATTACAGTTGCAGAGTAAGACACTGAGTTTATAAACCAAAGATCGGTAGTTAAGGATGAGATCGAAACATATGTAATACAATTTGTTAATATCGAATATTGACACCCTCAGAAGTGAAAATGTCTAATTGTTAGAAATCAAATAAAATCAAAACATAATGATACATAAGATCATCAATAATAAGATCATCTATAAAGTTAATTTCAATAAAAAATACATAATGATCGATACATAAGATCATCAATAATCAGAGTTGAGACACAGTTAATAAACTGCGGAGTGACTAAAATGCTATACAGCAAAAACAGAACGCTCCAACCAAACACTCCACCTACTGATCCTAACCACCCTAACAACTCTCTAGCTCTCTCTCTTCAACCCTCATTCCCTCACTCCTCTTGGTGCACAAAACCATTCTAACCTATGTATGTCCCCCCTAAGGGTTCCACAAGCCCAACGGTACATAGTTAGACGAAAAACAGAGAAGCCTTGATTGCCAGATCAAGGACTGCATCAGTAGCAGCGAAATACGGATATACCTTCTCCCTTACAGTCAGCGAGCTGACAACTATCTGACTGTGTCTTTTAGGCCTTGCCACACCACCTTCGCTATTGCATCCGCTCGCCCGTATTCACTGACACATGCCACACCTGGGTTTAGTATGAAGATGTACTCATATTCACCCAAGATGCGGAGATGCCTCAGTTTAGCGAGTTGAGATACAACAGCAAACTCACAGGAGCATGGATCAGAATCATCAGTTACCAACCTGACACCGTTTCGGGGCTTAAATCGCAATACGGTTTCCTGTCAGGCGCCCCAGCAGTCCACCCTTGAACCACCATCTGATCCGAGAGTCACTTGAGGAGACCCGTTAGAGCTCGCAATTGGCGACGAGATAACGTTTATGGTACCTCTAGATGTTATAGTGAACTCTCAAGCTCCAACCTTCCTGAACTCCCATTCCCTCTTTCTCGATAACAAGTAAATCCATCTGGAACAGTGGGCTGCTTCTTTCCCGCTGTCCCGTACCAGCTTCTTCAGCTCTCTTCCCCTAAAACCAATCCTCCTCGCAGCTCTCTCCAAACTCTGCGCAACCACTCCCCTAGCTCCAACTTCGACTGCGGCATTATAACAGCACCAACCTTTCGCCTGAATCTCAGCCTGCAGACCGCTGTATCGGTCGAGCTTGTACTCGTGCGATTCAGCGATCCGCTCTTCAGATGGTACTGTTAGCTCCCACCAAATAACTGTCTTTGCCGACCTTGAGAATATCACAAGGTCCGGCCTCAGCCGTGTTTCCACAATCTCACTGGGAAACTTAAGCTGCCCCTCAAGGTCTGACAGCACTATCCAATCCCGATACCCACTCAGGATCCCAAAACCACGACTCTCCTTCCGGTCGTCTGTACCTGCTTTTCTTTTCCCAGCAGGAACAAAATAATGATCGATACATAAGATCATCAATAATAAGATCATCTACAAAGTTAATTTTAATAAATCAGACATTTCAAATTATGAGCTATCAGGCTCAACAGCCCTAATCGAATCAACTCAAATAATAATGACACCTTCTTTTCCTACTTAGTACTTATCACCATTCACCTAATCTGACACTTTCCAATGATAAAGACATAATAAATTTCATTTAGGATACAATTCTTTTTAAAACACTCTAGATTTTAAATCTTAAAATTTCTCGGAAAGAAAGACTTTATGAAGTTCCTTAACTTTCCCGGCAAATTCTGAATTTTGCCGGGAAAATTTAAGAATTTGGCCGCCAAATTTTTTGGAGGCCTAAATTAAAAATCAGCTTCCTACAATAAAGTGGAAATGCGATTTAGAGTCGACTCCGAAAATTTCATACAAAAATTTTAAAAACTGATTGAGTTATTTCAAAATAAATGAAATCAATTCTGCGAATATTGCGAACGAAGATACGGGCAGTTTTGTTCATTTTTTGGGGTATTTACGCCTTAGTATCCACATTTAAACAGACTATGCAGTTTGGTCCTAGTTTGTTGGTCAACTGCTATCTCGAAATCAAGTTTCACAAAAAAATACCCATTGGCCCCCCCCCCCCCCCCCCCCCCCCCCCCCCCCCCTTTTAATATTGCACAATATTCATACTTGATCTACTAATATTAAAAATATCTTAACTGTATTCTACTAAACCACTGAAGATTTCTATGAGATCTCTGCGAATTCTCCTTTCACCAATGTAGTTAAATTCCGAATTTCCAAGCTGCATGCTGTATACCAATACCCTTTCAACCTTTAACCCTTTCAACCCTTTAAACCTTTCAACTCAAGGATGATTTGCCAACTACCATGAGTAGCAGGTTCCACAACTGTACATAATATTCAAAGTGTGGTCTTATCAAAGATTTGTAAATTTCTAACATAACTGTTTTATCTCTAACAATAGAATTCCTGACTAATGACGCTCCAAAAATCTGTGCACATGTCTACTTACGCCCTATTATTATTGTTAATGTACAGCTGCAAAATTGTTACCTAATCTGTAAGTGGGCAGTCAATATTTGGTGCAATATTTTGTGCAATTTCTTAGTTGTTGTACAGTAAACCATGACAATCCTGAATGTAATGTACGGTGGGTAGTCAGACACAAAGACAACTCTAAATTATAATAGAGATTAAATAATAATAATGAAAGATATACTATAGATACTACAGATAGTAGTATCTTATTCGAGTGTAAGCCGCTACCTTTGAGAGATTACCAGACTAAAGCCATGAGGATTATTGTTGTTATCTTCATGTGGTTAATGTAACACTTGCATCAAGCTTGATAATGGATAATTAAATGTAAAATCAATGTAGTCGTTATTTTAGTGGGATGTCACAAAGCTGACGTGCTTGACACCCATGGTAAACGATGTCAGCGAGTAAAAAATAAGAAAAGATTACGTAAATCTTTTTATTTAATTTCGTCTTTTATTTGTAGTACTATACATGTTGTTTCAAAAGTGTAGAATAATGTACAATAAAGAAAATTGTAACCTTAACTATCTTCCAGATGGAAAATGTTGAACAACTACCAGAATGAAAGCATAAAACATATTTTCTCTTTCAATGGTGGGAATTGAGAAAAGTAAGTATAAATAAGATTATTCATTTAAATCCGTAAATTGGGTTAAATAATCCTCTTCTCGTCCAAGAGTTTCTCCTCGATTTTGCATGATTTTAGGGATCCTGTCTAAATAATCTTCAATTTCTTTTGTGTCACTTCTTAATTTCAACGGTCTCTAACTCTTGATTTCTGGGATTCAATTCAGTCAAATGATTTCATCTTGCAGTTCCAGAATGCAAGTACCGTTGGAATACTAACGAGGTCAGTTGATTTCAAGTTAGATTTGTATTCTCCTGAAACGTTAGATTTGTATTCTCCTGAAATGTTAGATTTGTATTCTCTTGAAACGTTAAATTTAATTTGTTTTCTACCTACTTAATTGTGTATCTTCTATCCTAATTCTATCTTATCTTGATTATCTTGATTGTAATTATAAAGATTGGTTCTATGAACTATAAGAAGTTGGATCAGGTAATTTTAAATTAAGCAACTGTAAACTCTTTAATTCGTTTCGAAGCATATCACACCAAGCCTAGCTGAAGAATTATAGTCAGCCTATTTATATATTCCTCATTTTCAGCATCACCTCAACACTTAAGGCCACAGGAGGGGGGGGGGGGCGGGGGGCGGGGGGGGGGGGGGGGGGGGTCCGAGGTCATTTCTGAGATTTTGAGATATGTTGTAGAGCTCGATCTAAATTTTCAAATGCTTTTGTCCTCAACGAAAAAAAAGTTTCCCATCTGTAGATATCGCGTGTCAAAGTTTTAGGTTTACCTGTAATTCTATTGTAAATGAAAACTTAAGGTTTTGGCAGAAATCTATCATCTTTTACAGTTTACATCATGGGCCTTGTAACTTGGCAAAAGTGTTTTTCAAGGTCTTGTCCAACGGAAATATGAGGCGGTTTTTGATATTTTGCCCCTAAGCTGAGATATGAGGTTAACAATAAGTATGCGTCACGATATTTTCGACAATTTTCGACAGTCAACCTCATAAAAAGAGTTAGAAGCAAAATTTTAAAAATCGCCCCATACTTCCTAACTGTGACTATCTTAGGAACATGTGTTCCAAATTTGAGCTGAAACGGATGAAAGCTCTAGGAGAAGATAGATTTTAAAGGTGTTTTCAGGAGAGCCAAAAGACTGATTTTTAAGAAAATATGTTAACGTCAAAATAAAGGGCATATAATAGTTTTGTTGACGTTGGACGGCCAATTGGTACCCATGAATAAGTTTAACTTATGATGAGAGCAACAAAATGTTAAGAACTGGTTATTTGTGATGTTAACTAATAAAATAGGCAATGTTAACCTCAATTTTACGACAAACTAGGCGCTCTGGGGGGCTAGGGGAGGTACGCGAGCGTCAGGTAGTACGTGGTCTGCCAACTGGGGGGAAAAATTTGTTTGGTCTTGGACCCCCCCTGTGGCCTTGAATGTTAATAAACTATCTCATTATCAGGAGATATTGCAATACTTGAACTACGCTTGCCTGAACTTTCACGTGTTAAAGAAGAAACACATAGTACGTGCCAAGAATGGAGCTATGCTACTGTTCGACAGAACCAAGGTAACCTCATCTTAGATACATCATACTTTAAATAATTATACTTTTATAACATAAGTAATATCATAAACTTTCAAATCGAGAAATTGAATCTGAAAATGGCAACGATATATTTTATGAAGTTTGTAACAGGACACGGAGCCTCTAAATTTAAGTGTTATATTAGCGGAGCAGGTGATTCAACCAAATCATAAACCTTTAAAGGCATAATTAATGGTATTTTATGTGCACAAAACTGTAGAGCTGCGTCACATTCTTGAATATTCCACAGAAATTTTCCTGACCGGAATGTTACTCTAGGGACCTTTAAGGGGTATTTAAGGTTACCAAGAACATGTCGTGAGGCGAATATATTATGTTTTTACAAACCAAAAAATTGGATTGTGTAGTTGCCCCTCTTCTCATACTCTTTCCTATTGATAAGTTGATTAGTTGTGACATAACATTAATTAATACCATAAACTATCACCGAAAGGACACCGTAAGTAACGTAACCGCTCACTCCCATTTTGCTATTCATTTTATACTGTGCACTAATAATTAGAACAGCATTATTATATTCATAGCGGTGTCAGAAATACTTCTTTCTCATTTCCCAGCCTCATTTTGGCAATGAACTCGAGTTCTAATTTTATTTTATCAAAAAGAAAAGTTGCGATAAGGCTCACTTCGTCTAAGCTCCAAACTATTTCACATCAAATTAAAATACCTCAAGACCACTTGGCATGGAAAATAGTATAAATCTGTCTGAATGTGCATTGTGCTAGGATGCAGTATATAAATACCTAACTACGATATTTGTCCTGAAGAAATGATAATTATACAGCTGATGATAATAGTGCTTAAATATCAAGTTAGCCATACCATGATACCCTTGCTAAAATGTTTAAAATTTTGTTTTCGTCGTCATGTAATTAGGTTATTTGACTTAGGATCGTTGCATACGTTAAATATTTTGATCGCTAAATATGTCAAGGTAAACAGCTCTCCTTCGTCAAATACTAAAATACAATTTCATAACAGAGCTGTCTAGCTATTCGAATGGAATTTCCTTTCGATTCTAGAATAATTGTATTGTGACGTAACACATACAACTCTATTATTACTTATTAGTGTACGGCATATAGAGTGTAATTAAGGTGCAGATCTTTGACGAAAATGTCGTGTAATTACATGGAACTTATAAAAAGATTCTTTATCAACTATCAAGGCTTTCAGCTAATCTACTGGGGGGTGATGCAACGTCAATTAATGTCAGTATTTCATAAAAACCCCAAACTGACATTGACATTAATTGACATTAATTGACATTAATTGACATTAATTGACATTAATTGACATTAATTGACATTAATTGACATTAATTAGAATTAGAATTAGAATTAGAATCAAATTTACACAGTAATACAATAAGAATAAAAAATAATTTAAGAAGCTTCAATCTGCTGTGCAGGACATTCAAGTCAGTCGAAAACTGTTAGCAGAACACCCTTCTAGGGACATAAGGATATAGTTTGTAAAACATTAATTTGACATTAATTTGTCTTGAAATTTGAGATTATCATTATTCGATAAATATTCCAGATATTCACGTCTATGTAAGTTAGACCGGTTCAAAAAAACAAAATGTCCTTGAATAATTATGAGTATGTTCTTATCTGTTGATCCTGAGGTTCAAAGACCACAAAAAAAAATTTCAGCTTCCAACTCTTCCATCTTCGGTCCCCACCGGCCACGCCCATATTTTATTGGTTTCTTATACAGGTAAAATATCTAGAATCGGCTTTTTTAGTATGAAGGAGTAATGTTAGCTGTTTAAGATTCGTTATTCAAATATAAATGTCATGAAGGCATTTCGTTTAATGTGGGTTTTAAGTTCTGATGATGTTGAGAACCACGCCCTTGGATGGCCACGCCCATTTAAGAAAATTAAATTTAGGAAAACCGTATTATATTAGTTTTATTGTTTAATGATCTGAATTTTTTTCACATTTCACATTTCCATATGTGATAGTAGTGAATAAATTGATGATATAAACGTTCTAAAGTGCTAAAAATATGGTAGAACTACATAATCTCTGGTCGAAAAATATCGTGTCAATTAATGTCAGTATTCCAAAATTTTGCAAAACTGACATTGACATTAATTGACATTAATTGACATTAATTGACATTAATTGACATTAATTGACATTTATTGACGTTGCATCACCCCCATCTACTGGTCTTAATCATGAACTATAGTTTCTAGTCTATACATTGAATCATCCCTTGATTTTGTATCCTACTAATTTGAAATTTATCTTAGGTGCGTTACAAGACAGATGGATATGAGTGGAAGAAAAGAAAAGACGGTAAAAATGTTAGAGAGGATCACATGAAACTAAAGGTTAACGGAGTCGAGGTAACAACACTTCGGTACTTTATTTCCTAATAAATAGTTTGACATAGCTCTAACACTGAGCTAATAGATGGCAACATTTAGTACAAGTTTGTTTTAACATGCAGCTGACAGCGATCCTGGAATTTGAACGGTTGCTGCAAGCTGATTAGTAGTCACGTGCATTTCAAAATGTACACTAAACTTGCGTCTAGTACCACCTCCCTACTGTTTCGTGGAACTTTACTCTTCTCTGCTCTTTAAATTAGCCAGCCATGAAAATATAGACAGAGTTTAAGGCTTGTTATGTCATTATCACAGCTTGTGCACTAACTTTATCGCACTAAGAAACCTGACAATATCTGTTTTGACTGCTGCAGTCTATTCACTGAGACTGTCGTCCTACTCTCTGTCATATCGTATTTCTTGATGTTGAGTTTGATTCAAAAATTTAAGTTATCGTATTAAGCCAATGATAGATTTTTTCGCATGATCATTTTTACTGTAGCTTCTTTAAGGTGCAACGTATAATAGATATTGCCTATGATACCACCATCGCGCGGCCCTTCTATTGCTAGTTTTAGAGCTCAATTATTACTTAAAGTACTCTGGTGCCAAAACTTAGTGCAACGGAATTGATCGCTCGAAGTGCGCGCGTTTGTCATAAACATGTGTACAATACATTTGGCAAATTAAGCTCGGAGCTGTATTAGTAATTTTCATAATTAGAAGTGCTATTGTATGCAACACTAGCACAATTTACACTAGTACTTCTACTTACAGTGTCTCTACGGGGCGTATGTACACAATGAAGCAGTGCCCAACTTTCATCGCCGTTGCTACTGGAAATTAAAGGTACGTATGGCAAAATAGGGACTTTACAATTTACTTATCGTTCAATGTCTTCAAAATGAGTATTCAATCTTTAATTTGAGTACTTATTTGTATAATTTTTATCTCAAAATAATACAGAATTCTGAACCATCAAACTCAAAACCCAACACATAATTACGTGGTGTAAAATCATAATAACTGTAAATATAATCACTATAAAATATTTAACCACGTAGTAAGCTGGTTAAGCTCAAATTTCTTCATTCACACCAATATGGTAATTACTTATGTTATCTGAAATGTAACTGCAGATTACTAGCTAAAGTTTACAGCTCCATCTCATTGGCAAACATTTACACACGGTACTTTAAAAAAACTAATCAAATACCATAGGTCTCAACATTACATACGGCAACGGTCTCATCGCAAAACGTGTTCTGTTCTGATTCCCATTCGTTCCCCTTTTTGGTTCGTGCTTTAAGATAGACCACCAGGACGATCCAAGATGAAATGTTTAAAATGCATATAATAATGAAAACAGGAGAGTTCTGTAAAATGACCGCGGCTAGTAGTATTTCCACAATGTGTAATATAAAAGTAGGAGCTAGGTCAAATTCAGCCTTCTCGTGCCACTCGTGGTATATTGCATCTAGCATGTCTATCGGATGTCTCACAGAGACGATCAAGGTTTCGGAAACAGAGAAGGCCAGGAGCCTCAATAGGAGACTGGTAGCCTGAACCCATGTTGTGGATCGTCTGAGAGCGAGCAAGATAGGCCTCTGAAGAGCACTTTTCTGTTTCTCTTCATCTAAGGCTGGATCGTGGTATTTGTGGGAGGTAAGAAGGTTTAGTAGGAAGGATATGGAAGTGTGCACACCGACAAAGAAGAGGGCAAAAGTACCACTTACAAAATAGATCAAGTTCACTAGTATCAGACGGCAGAGTATCGCAACGAAGTGATGTACTGTTAGAATGAGGAACTGCCGGTCGTTGGAACTGCTACTATTTGTTTCGTATGTAGCTAAACTATCTCCAGTGCTGTAGGCACTCCAAATCATTGATAGCAACACTATTGCGAGTTCTATCTTCAAGGTTATTGGTGAGTTAGAGATGACGGAGAAGAAATGAAATATGTCACGTGCATCTGTGATTTCATGGATTGTTTCATTTGCATCCTGTTTGTTTGGCAACAAGTCGCCGAATGTCTCCGTTGCGAGAATGACTTTTGCGATCACTAACGAATGCAAAATCATACTGACAATACCACAAAGTTTCAAGTAAAGCTTGAGTGTGGACAAGTTTTTAATCTTTCTTTCAAGAACCCGAATAAGTTGTGGCTTGTGGTTCAAAATCTCTTTCACGTCCAAAATCAGTCGCATCTGCAGGAAAGTTAAAACGTTATTATAAGAAAAGCTGTTTGAGAAAGGTATAAGATAATACCGTATTCTGTTCCTTAAAATTGTAGATCCATCATCAGGCTGCTCCCCCTCCCATATAACAGTATCCGAAGTAAACGTATCTCTATTGTGTCGCACACGAGCCTCAAACGACAGATAGTTAGTGTAGATCATAGAAAGAAATGACAGCAGGAATATCATCAAATTGAGTAGAAAATCTTCCAAATCAAATTGTTTGGAACGTACATCATGGCTCAGATAGAGCAAACCGAAGAATATCATGTACCACTGCTGAATACAGTCTCCGTAGTGTGAAACTTGGAAAAGTCTCATAAGGTATTCCTTCTTGGACGTCATGGTATAGCATTTGTGTTCCCGCTCCTCCAAGTACCGTTTGTAAAACTCTTTTATCTCCAAAGCGTCCAGCTTCAAAATCAAGATTCTTGTTGTTTTGTCGAATGCTTTCGAACAATCTTCTGGATAGTTGCATCCCCATGCGCTGAGGATTCTGGCTGTACCTGCTACCACATCGTCAAACTCTCCATTTTTAAACGATTGCCCGGACTCCTTTATGAATTTAAGGCCACCCAATAATGCTAAACAAATCTGTTTGTCGATGAAAAGAGGGTAGAAATAAGGGGGTCCGCTAACTAGGGAACTGAGCATCTTTACAACTGATAGGTAGCACACTTTGTTCCGATCTGAAATCCTGTGGACGTGCAACGAGTTTCTAATTATATCTGTAAGTTGAAGACCATTGCTGCTTGAAACTTGTAAAATAATGCTAATCGCCTTATTTCTCCATCTAGAACTGGTTATATTTTTGTCTCGATTGCGGCAGATTTCATGAACTATGTCGAAGAAGATGCCCACGGCGTGGCTTCCAAACGGCACTTTTAGAAATATCTGTGAAAGTTTCCCCCACAAATCTTGGCAGTGGACCAAAGCCTCACATTGTGCCCTGGGACACTTGATAGAGTTGAGCACAACTTTAGTGTGGGCAAAGAGTTTTTCCATGGCCAGGTTGTGTTGACTTGGTTCAAAGTTGGCACATTTTTCTAAAAATGTAACTATGGCCCCAGCCTCTTGTTTGAAATCTTCGATGGAGTGTATAACGTTTTGGGAGTCAACGTCTTTGAGATAATCATTAGACAGGTACACAGACTGATGTAAGTTGGCCACGTTTATCTTGAAGTAGTTGGAGGTGTACCACATGGTCAGATAGGCCATTGCATGATGGTTGTGTTTTATCGCAAACTCCAATAGTCTAGGTATAAGCGGCTTCATTTGAGCGTCCATCTCACCAACACCAGTATTTTCGTCAGTACCCGAAAAGCTTGAGAGATATTTTGGTATTCTGATCAACAGGGTGAACGTTAACCGTGTCATCTCAGTCACGGCATTTTTGTCCAATATCTCAGACGAAATATTTAAGATACATTCTAATGCTGGTTGCCTGACCTCACGAATTATTTTCTGCAATATCATTCGTGTTAGTCGCCCCAAGTTTTGTTCATCAAAACTGGTGCACACTTTTACACATTTAAGCAACCTTTTCTTCAGCTCTTTCACATATTCGTCTTTATTGTTGTTAAATAGCCAGGATATTCTCATCCAATCTGAGCTCAAGTCTTCTGATCTTGTATCCAGGGAGAAGGATGATCTGCCTTCTGAAGAAGGTACAGAATAGGAAAATAGTAGTCTATCATAGCTTTCTAGAGGACACTCTATCAGATTTGCTGATATTTCTTTGATTAAAGTTATCATACAATTGATCAGCTCATCTGAAATCTGTTCATCGGTAAGATGCCGGCTATTAAAATCATGGGAATACTCCTGAACTTCTGGTATCCGGAGAAGCACGTTGCTAAATATCTTTGAACACTGTTCAACAAGTAGTATTGATCTGACTTTAGCGAGTACCGTGGTTGTACTGTAAATTATCTGATTTCGCCACTTCTGAAGATAACGGGCCCAATTTGCAACTATTTCGTTGCCCATTTCTTGGCTTCTAGGGACGTAAGTAACGATCTGGAGGATGTCAAACGACAAAATAAGAATATGCAAATCCTCCTTTTGTATGGAACTCTGTGAGCGTGACGAAGAATTGATGAGATCCAACAGATCATCAATCATAAACGTACCATCCCCGGCTGAAGTCTTTTTGATGACAGTACTGAAATCATCTGCGTCTCCCAAAGACATCCTTACTCTGCGGACTATTTTCTTGATGTAAACCAGAAGTTCTATAACAATATCCTTGTCTTCCGGCGAGTCAAGCCACATCTTTTTAACACAAATAAAAGTCTGTTTTAACACAGCGGAAATGGTTGTTGAGTTGAGTCTGTAAATGGACCGGTTTATGAGTTGCACCTGATCGTCGTGTAAATACCTGTCGTACGTAACTGTGTCTCTATAGAGCCGCAGCACAAAACACAACTCCGAGATAAATCCGATGACGTGGATAGAGTCCTTGTTTGAGATAGTACCTTCTAGTTCATTCTGAAGATCGGAGATCCAGCCTTCGTGCTTTTCCATCAGTTCTAAGGTGTTCTTGTTGTTCAACCTCATCTTCATAGCATTCAAAACTGTTAAATTGCGAACTATGTCCAATGTGGATCGGATGTAAAGTCGTTTTTTCTGATGGTCGACTAAAGTGTGAATGATTGAGTTGCCATAACGCTGAACAAGATACTTAAATAGCCTATCTGGACTGCTGAGAAACCAGACAGTACAATCCAGGACATCAACCAATACTGATTTGTCTGTTAGCGTCCTCAGCAGGGAGAGATGCACAGATACTCTATTATCAAGTAGTCTGTATTCACTGTCCCCTATACTGAGTACTGTGTCATCGAATACTATTTCCCTCTGACTTTCTTCCGTGAGGATGTCGTAGTAATCATTAAAGACTCGCTTATCAACGAAATCAGTTAAACTATTGTTAATTACCAGCTCTTGAGAAGGGGTCGATATCAAGTATCGCTGACGTTCAACAGGAAGACAGCTAAATAGGTCTCTGTCAGTGACAACCACCCAAAATGAAACATCCTCCGGTCTCACTGTTATGTTCGCTTTCTGATCCTTCAGTACTGTCTCCAAATAGTCCCTCGTATTCGTACACATTGACTATTATATAAACATTGGTGTTATTATTAAGTAGCAAGTTGTAGTATACCCAAGCTGACTAAAAACTAAAACTCCTATAAAGTTTGATGAATCTGTGCCACCAGGTTTAAAGTTAATAAATCCCCCACCTTCTGAAGACGATTTACACAAGTAATTTGAAAGCTCCTGCTAATAAAATCCTTTCGTATCACTTATATGTTTTAAATATCCCCTCCAGGCCTCCACCTTCTATTTAATTCTACTATTCAAATCAGAATCAGAGTGTTTGCATCTTGAGAAGAGTAGGGATATTTAGAAAGTAGAATAATCAAGACAAGTTGAAATCCTAAAAGATTACTAATAGTAGGAACTAAAATATAATACTAAAATAGGAAAGTCATCTTGAAAGATTAAAGTGTGATGCGAATTAAAGACAAAGAATTGTACACAAAATGTACATACAAAGTGAACGCTCACAAAGACAAATGGCTAAGCGAGAGAAACGTTATACCGGTAAATATAATGTTTATAACTTAGGCATAATCAAATTGAAATATCGAGTAAAGCGAAATTAGGCGCATGGAAGTGCTACAAGGAAAGAAGGGATAAGATTACGTTCGCATCACGAGTTCCCACCTTCATTATGACGTCATCGTTTAAATACTGCATATCAATACTATTTTTAGATTCTTGCAGGGGACCGGTTTTCAGACAGAAACAAACAAACTGCACCTGTACAGTATTCTATTTGGTAGTGTGTACTTAGTACTGTAGTAGTTGCATGATGTCTCTTGAACTTACTGTTTCACTAGAAGTATTCATATACCTTATCAGTTATCTGAGCCCTGATCCCTCAACATGCATAACATGTTTCCCTGTTTCCTCCTCCCTGTTTCCTCCTCCCTGTTTCCTCCTCCCTGATTCCTCCTCCCTGTTTCCTCCTCCCTGTTTCCTCTTCCCTGTTTCCTCCTCCCTGTTTCCTCCTCCCTGATTCCTCCTCCCTGTTTCCTCCTCCCTGTTTCCTCCTCCCTGTTTCCTCCTCCCTGTTTCATCCTCCCTGTTTCCTCCCCCTGTTTCCTCCTCCCTATTTTCTCCTCCCTGTTTCCTCCTCCCTGTTTCCTCCTCCCTGTTTCCTCATAACATGAACTAATGAAAACTCTGCTCCTTCTGTCACAAATAAGAAGTGAAGAGTTCAATTGTTAACACAAAACAAGTTCAATTTAACCACTATCTCACTATCTATTTAACTGCAAGAGGGGTATCGATTATACCGTAGTCGAAACTTGAAAATTAACCATGTATTCAGACCACTACAATGTGCTATGACTTAATGCGTGTCTTGACACATCGGGCGAAACCGTGCGTAGAGCCATGTAACTCGATATACACTTTATGCAATATTATATTATGTTTATGCAATATGCAACGTCGAACATATAGTACCAAGACACAAGAATACAAAGCCCTGACCCGGGGGATGTGATCATCATGAACAGTTAACAAGCATACGAGGAAACGTTTACTTTTGCTTTTTAGTGCTGATTTAGATTCATGCTTGTTGGAGTAGTTGGCGTGTATCCTGTAATACTTCAATAGAAAATATGTGACATCAGCTGCAGACCTGACCATTTGATCTGAACATTACCATTGAGCAGGCTTAGTAGTAGTATCATCCAAATTAGCGGACTTAACAGTTAACAACCTCTTTAATAGTGAATTGGGCTCATCACGACCGATACACAAGTATCCAAAATCTGCAGCAACAAATTGGTTGTTTAAGAAGTTACAATTAGTTGTTAATGTTGGGAGAGGTTGCCGAGTAAGGCTTCAGGTGCTCTCAGACATATTATTATCTAACTCATCTAAATTGTCCTCTTAACTGTACTAACACTATGTTCCCCTGCAGACTCCTAAAGTGGTACTAGTACACTATCTGTACGTAGCAGAGGAGGTGCAGACTGGACCGCCACCTATCTCACAGCTTCATAACGCTATCTCCCAACTTCAGAACATATGTTAGTCCTTGTTAACATTTAGTCCATGTTAATATTTAACATATGTCAGTCCATTTTAACATTTAGTCCATGTTAATATTTAACATTTGTTAGTCCATGTTAACATATGTTAGTCCATGTTAACACATGTTAGTCCATGTTAACATATGTTAGTCCATGTTAACATATGTTAGTGTTTACATATGTTAGTCCATGTTAACATTTAACATATGTTAGTCCTTGTTAACATTTAGTCCATGTTAATATTTAACATATTATGTTAGTCCATGTTAACATTTAAAATATGTTAGTCCATGTTAACATTTAAAATATGTCAGTCCATTTTAACATTTAGTCCATGTTAATATTTAACATTTGTTAGTCCATGTTAACATATGTAAGTCCATGTTAACATATGTTAGTGTTTACATATGTTAGTCCATGTTAACATTTAACATATGTTAGTCCATGTTAACATTTAAAATATGTTAGTCCATGTTAACATTTAACATATATGTTAGTCCATGCTAACATTTAACATATAATGTTAGACCATGTTAACATTCAACCTCTTTGCTTGTTCCACTTTGATATTTTATACACTGCGTGTTTCTTGCAATAGCGTGTAAATGTGTAACATTGTCCCCTTCAGTTAACGTACCAGAGGATGAGCTGTTGAGATCAGTGACTTCCTCCCAAAACGGCTCACCGCCCACATCTGAGATACAAGAAAATCAGGATCAACCCTCTCCGGAGGTGGACTCAACTCGGGCTTCACAACTCCTTCTAATCTTGAGGAAACAGGGTCATCAGCTCAAACAGCTCATTTACCAGGTCTTTACTTTGTGAGCAGTTTCAATTCTCACTTTTTGCTTCACTTTATAATGATGGTATTAATCATTTTCAATTTAGGATTATCAATCTTGTCTAGAAGATGATTAAGACTAAGTGATTATTAATTGATTAATTCAGGACAGTAAAAATGGTAATTTGGTGGAGGATAAAGATACGCAGACAGATAAATGTATACAAAGTACCAGCGTACATCACTCCTGCTGTGAAGGAAATGGTGCATGCGCGACTCAAAACGGCACGTCTAACAGCACGTGCACGATGCACGACAGCGTGATGCACAGTAACAGCTCCTTGAGTCCGGTACCCTCTACAAGCAAAGAGAGCGAGCGGATGGACACGGAAAGTGTCCACAACAATCAGGAGGAGGACCTGGAACAAAACTCTTTACTGGTCAGCAAACACAACCCTCTCCTCAGCAACTCTAGCAGTGATGATCTCAACCCTTTCCTTGATCCTATCCTTCCTTCTCTTAGCAATGTATGTGCTTCGAATTTTGAGCCTTTTTTGATTTTATAACATTTTTAGTGGCTAGGTGGCCGAGTGGTTAGCATTCCCAACTTTCAATCCGAGCGTAGGCGGTTCGAATACCGGCTTAGTCTAGGGAGTAAGCTAAGGATTCCGTTGGATCTATTCAACGTTAAAAATATGTGTAACTCTCCTCGGTTGACTCAGCCGAATGATCGGGCAACTCTGATTGAGGGTAAATGAGTAGCTGCCCATTGCAGAGAAGCCTCGGGGGAGTAACACTTCCTCAACCGTCGCTAACCTAATTGTTCTTCCGGTTCCTATAATTGGCGGTTACATAACCATGCATAGCCATAAGGCTGTTGGATAAACCGTTGTAAAATAAGTACCTCGACTGTTATTCATTATGTGACCCCCATCCCCCCCCCCCCCCCCCCCCCCCCCCCGTGACTTGGTGAGTTATATTTTGTGATTATTATTTCTACTTTTGTACGGGCGTTTGTTGTGTGTTGTTTGTTGTGTGTTGTTGTTTATATATTCGTAGCGATTGTCGATGAATGATATCATTGTTTTGTCAGGGCCATGATGACGCCGGCTCCAGTTCTTACAATAAGAACGAATGTGACATGTTCTTTAACAACCCAGATTTACTGAAGTACGATCTGGCGTCCCTCAAGGACAAGGTTTGGGTCCTTTTTTATTAATTACTAAGTTGATAAACCGAATAATTTAAAAAAGACAAAGTATCGTAAACAACAGGCAATTACAGACATTGCAGACCACTCTGTACTGAGATGAGAGATGTATAGTATCCATCACAGGAACACAGGGGTTATCATCACCCGATTTACATTTAATTTGGAAATTCTGATTCAAGTTATGAGAGCTGTGGACATTGAAGTCATCAGTGAACCTGCTCCGTTTGACCGTTTCGCCTTACTGTTGTAGCATATATTACAATTGAACTAAATTCTACAATCTTCCTCCTCCTTCCTCCTTGATGAATTGCATTGCAGGATTCGAAATTGTTTGAACTGTTTGAAGAAGCTGATATGGCATCCAATCATGAGTCGTTTGGTTGCCCAGATATTCCGTTTCAACACGATCCCACTGCATCTCTGCACACTACTGGTGAGGTGCTACATAGTTTTGTTAATTAAGATAATATTCAATAAAAACCACACATCTGATACATGAAGCACCTCTCCAAATTAATATCCACCGTTATTTCAGTGGTTGATGTAAGGGAGCAGGAGAACGTTCCAGTTGGACAAAAGAGGAAGTACAGCAGTAACACTGAGAACAATACCATGGAGCTAGACGCGTCGGTTTCTCCTCATATCACCACCATATCACCCAACATCACCACCATATCACCTTGCACCACCACTGTCGCTCAGAGCATCACCACTGTCGCTCAGAGCTCTCCCTCAGAGAATGGTTACTCGTACACCAGGGAGCCTGTGTCATCAGCGGAGGCGAGCCCTGTCCTTCCTACTTCGGAGTACCGTATCTCAATCACAACCATCAGCCCGGAGTGGGCCTTCCTCGCTGGGGGAGAGAAGGTTAGTTCATCGTCTCTATGTCATCTGATGACTAACTAGTTGACTAATGTACCTGTGAGTCTGTCACTGATTTCCAAAGTAGACTCGCAATTTTAATTATGAACATGGCATATTGAGATGAACTTAATTAATTGAACTGCATTAATAACACAACTATCTTCCTTCCTTACTTGGTTTAGATATTATTTTACTCAAGAATCTGTATTATTTATAAAGGCGCAATCTTCAGTAACAATTAACATCAAGCTCAACTTCAGGTAGTTTTGGTTGGGGATTGGGAACGGATACAGGGACCATGTTGTGTTGTTTTTGGTAACACAATGGTACCAGCTCAGCCCCTTCGAAATGGTAAGATACTTGAAAAGGATCTTTATCTTTTGGGCACAGAATTATCATCCTGTTTTGATACTAAAGTACTAATTCAATACTTATCGAGACTTCATATATGATACAAAGAAAACTCCATTTATGGACGTGAGGAGAGTTAGAACTCCTCCAACTACACTAAATCAATTCCTTCTGTAACTTCCTCAATAAATGTAATAGATTTGTTGTGTTGTAATTACAATAACCCTCAACATCACACTCCCCCTCTCTGTCCCAGGTGTGTTACAAGTCGTATGCCCCGCCTCACCCCACCCGGGTGTGGTTACTGTCCACATTGTAGGGCAGGGTGTAATCATCACAGACTCACAGACCAAGTTTACATACAGAGAACAACACAGTCCGAGTCAGTGGCTCAATGTTGTGGACTCTAACTTCAAGTATTCTCTTATCAACCGGCTGGAGGCGCTAGAATCACAGGTATTATTACACAGTTATAACTGACACAGCAGACTTCATTCCGACATTGAAGGCTCAGTCAATAGTTTTTTTGAACCCACAACTTCAAGCTGATAGTTTATTTTTTAGTTTAGTTTATTCTATTTTCGATAGAATTTTACGTTTCATTATTTACCTACTCTAGTTTCTCAGGTTATGAATTTGTTTCACGAATTATTTGTTTTTCCAGGTTCGAATGCTGTCCTCGACCCAATTCACCGGGGACCTACAAACCAGGATGTGCTCCATCTCCCAGACCATCCTAAAAAAACTCTCCAGAACAGATAAGCTACCCCGAGCTCCTCGAGGTCTGAGACTGGTCCACCTGGCAGCTGCTGTCGGCTACTCCCGTCTCCTCCTCCTTCTCCTGAAGTTCTCCTCGCTCCAGGAGTGTAACCCCTGCTCTTTAGACGACATGGGGAACAACGCTTTGGTGTGGGCCTGTGTGGGGGGCCACACCCCCACTATCTACATCCTGCTGAGATGCTGCCCCCGACTGAGGGGTACCAGGGACGGCTGGGGTCGTCCCATCAGGGAGGTCTATGAAACTAGTCTGGGTAACAAGAAGGGGGAGACTGCTGCTCGGACTATACAGCTGCACTACAGGACTTACAAACAGAAGAAACTAAACGACGCTGCTATTAGGATTCAAACCAGGTCTGTTTGCTGTACAAATAATAACAAATAAAAATATAAATACCAAAATAATAAGTTAATTCAAGCATCGTACAGGCATGGTATATTTCTGTTTATCTGTTTACTCTTGTCCCCCCCCCCCGCCCCCTCCAGCTCTCGTCTCACTCTTTTTTTACCCTCAGATTCAGAACATACAAACAGCAGTGTACATTTGAGCAGATGAGGCGAGCAGTGGTTATCATCCAGCAGTCCTACAGAGACCACATGAAAACCAAGGAGGTAGCAGCGAAGACGATACAGCGGTGCTGGAGACAGACTTCAAGACAGAGACGAGTCCTGGGTCTGGCGAGCAACACTGGTTTCTACTAATCTGTGGTGGTACAGGATGGGCACCTATCTGTGAAACTAGGCTTTTTTAAACATTCTCCTCACACCAATATGAAACATCACCTTAACATCACCTTAACATCACCTTAACTTGAAAAACAAATTCGATGGACTGGCTGTTTTTATTGAAAATTTAACCTTGTGCATATCTGTTTACCTTGTGTCAATAACATTCTCAGAAACTACCATATGTTTTATCAGAATTTGCGTGTTTTTGTCCTGAGCTGATACTCTAGCTTTTTACTGTGTCCTTTTCGTGCGTTCGTTAGTTTTAATTGATCCTGTGTCCTGCTGATGATGATTTGTACGTATAGACAATGCGACTTATTTGCTTTGTTTTTACCAAGTGGAATGTGGAATGTTGGCTTGTAACCTGCTACAATGAACACAGCAAATTACTCACATTTACCTTAAAGCTATTTAAACTGAACTACTGTGTGTTGTTTTGTGTGACGCTTGTTTTATATTCTAGATCAAACTGTTATCGTAGGGCCCTGTCTCTCTATTTAATGAGCCTGACTTGAACTTAATTACTCCAATTTGTTAGAATTAACCACTCTGAAAAAGTCGTCCTGTCTGATATCTCTCTCGAGTCGAATGCGAATTATCTCAGAACATTGTTATATGATACTTGTACACTTTTTAAGAAATTTGACCTTTAAAGGAAGTTTGGTAGCCTTTTAAAACGGTAATGAAATACCGAAATTGCAGTGAAAATTAACTTTATGTCATAACCTTAAAACTAGGTGTCCTGTTTTCCAGAAAGTTATTATCAGTGTCAACTGTTAATTTACTTTGCACAGTTTTTTGAACGTTTGATCGTCGTGTCTTCTTAATCTACGTTTGCAGTAATTTATGAATATTTATTAGTCGAATTTAGGATTTTAATATTAATTTATGAGCAGAATAATAATAATTAGTTGTCGTAGTAAAATTTAGCGAAATGATACTGTAAACATTTGAATTTAACATAGGAGAAGTTACATAGTGTCTGTAACATATTTATATTTTTTACAGATTATCAATTTATAAATTTTCATTATCTTTTTTGTCATTTCGAATTTTCACCAATAAATTATAATGCCTTTGTAGGCATGAATTTGCAATTTCATAGTGAATAGAGTTTCCGCCGATACTTGTTAATACATATTAAAGCTCGGCATAGGATTTTTGGTTTCATCTAATTCGATTAAAAAAGGTTAGCTATAAGAGCGTAAATCACTTTCATATAATAGTATTATGCACTAATAGTGTAAATATGATATAACTTATAAGTTATTCGTTACATGGTAAGGAATATGAGAATATTTTCATGGTGACCAAGCTATTGTGGCCAAATACATTTTAATTACGTGTGTGAATATATATTGAAAATTTAAATATATCCTATAATGCTATTGTGAATATCGTTTGCTGAGTTTCCAACGCTTTATTAAGCTGTTTATGCCAATTGTTTGTTTTAGTTGTCCATATTTAGAAAACAACATGTTTGGAAACATGTTATTCATAAAATTCATAGAAACTTTTAAGTCCGATCACCAAAAAATGGAGGAAACATTTGCGAACTTTTCAAAGTTTGGAGACACTAAGTCAACCGGAAAGGAATTAGATAACCAGAAATTCAGCAAGCTGTGTAAAGACTCCGGGATTATGGGAAAACTTGTCACTTCTACAGATGTCGACATCATCTTCTCCAAATATAAACCGTAAGAGAACTAATTTTTTATCGTGCTTGTCAATTTAGCTCATATAGTTTTACCGCACGGAGATTTTACATATAAACCTCGTACGAGTTAATGTTAACACAATAAAATATGACACTCGTTCATCTCAATTGGGGGGGGGGGGGGGGGGCCAATGGCATAAATGGAGAAAATGGAGAATTACTCATGGGTTTTTCCATTTTCTCCATAGAAATAGTCTCCATTTTATGCCATTTTATGCCATTTTATGCCATTTTATGCCATTGAAAACCTGAAAAATTTAGAATTTCGAGAAAAATTATTTAAAAAAAGATATTTTCGGCCAATAATGAACAGGGTATCTTGAAACATGGAGAAAAGTGGTTTTCAGAAAAACTTTGAAAAATGTTGACTTAGAAAATGTTCGGTCCGAGTCATTTTCGATACGTACCTCCCGTATCGAGAGCTCCCGATTCCGAGCTCGTGTTGCAATGGGGAGGCCTGCCTTCCGAGATCGCATTACCTCGAGTCCAAAATTGTGTAATTTCGAAAAACCGAAAAAATATTTTCGGGTAATAATGAAGAGGGTAGCATGAAACGTGGAGAAAAGCGGTTTTCAGAAAAACTGAAAAATTTTGACTTAGAAAATTACCCCTCGGCCTCGGTACACAATTTTGGACTCGAGGCCTCCCCTGGTAATGCGATCTCGGAAGGCAGGCCTCCCCTTTGCAACACGAGCTCGGAATCGGGAGCTTTCGTTGCGAGAGGTACGTATCGAGAATGACTCGGGCCGAAAATTTTCTAAGTCAAAATTTTTCAAAGTTTTTCTTAAAACCACTTTTCTCCACGTTTCATGCTACCCTCTTCATTATTAGCTGAAAATATTTTTTTGGCTTATAACGAACAAGGTAGCATGAAACGTGGAGAAAAGTGTTTTTCAGAAAAACTTTAAAAAATTTTGACTTAGAAAATTACCCCTCGGTACACAATTTTGGACTCGAGGCTTCCCCCTGGTAATACGATCTCGGAAGGCATGCCTCCCCTTTGCAACACAAGCTCGGAATCGGGAGCTCTCGATACGAGAGGTACGTTTCGAGAATGACTCGGGCCGAAAATTTTCTAAGTCAAAATTTTTCAAAGTTTTTCTAAAAACCACTTTTCTCCACGTTTCATGCTACCCTCTTCATTATTAGCCGAAAATATTTTTTTGGCTTATAACCAACAAGGTAGCATGAAACGTGGAGAAAAGTGTTTTTCAGAAAAACTTTGAAAAATTTTGACTTAGAAAATTACCCCTCGGTACACAATTTTGGACTCGAGGCTTCCCCCTGGTAATGCGATCTCGGAAGGCAGGCCTCCCCTTTGCAACACGAGCTCGGAATCGGGAGCTCTCGATGCGAGTGGTACGTATCGTGAATGACTCGGGCCGAAAATTTTCTAAGTCAAAATTTTTCAAAGTTTTTCTAAAAACCACTTTTCTCCACGTTTCATGCTACCCTCTTCATTATTAGCCGAAAATATTTTTTTGGTTTTTCGGGTCAACGAAGTCTGCACCTACCCCTCGATACACAAATTTGGACTCGAGGCTTCCCCCTGGTAATGCATCTCGGAAGGCAGGCCTCCCCTTTGCAGTGCGAGCTGGTTTAGACTTTCGAGGATGTAGGTCTCACTTCTCAGTGCCTATTACTCTCCCCTATTACTCACCCCTGCTGTAGCCTGTAGAAATAACTTTACACTAGGCTTGAGTAATTATGAGTTTGCCTGAAGTGTGCCTCTACTAACCTAGTATAAGCATCTAGTAGCCTATTATGAGCTTTTTATAAGCTTGTTACGCCCCTAGTAAGCGTAAATAAGCATGTTAGGATGTCCAATTTAGGTGTTAAATGTTGTTAAAGATGAAATTTCGAAGACAAAATTCATGGCATAAAATGGAGAAAATGGAGAATTACTCATGGGTTTTTCCATTTTCTCCATAGAAAAAGTCTCCATTTTATGCCATTGGCCCCCCCCCCTCTCAATTCCTTGCTGGTGGCGATCTAAAATATGTAAATATCAGGAAAGGAGGTAGAACGATAACCCTGAAAGAGTTTAACCTGATACTGGACGACCTGTGCGTAAAGAGGTTTCCTAAAAAGGAAACACTAGATGAGAAGAAGGAAGCTATCAGGACTCTTATCGCTGGAAAGGGACCAACAACTAAAGGAACAACGGTTAGTCTAATTTCTAGATTCTGTTTTGACAGATGCTAGTTTAGGATTAGTTTTATGTAATCTGTTCAAATAGTTAACAATGCAGAATGTAGATTGTAGATTAGCGCAAGTCATATTTCGAATCTATTATTTGATATTTCTATTGATACGCTAACATTTTCGAGAATTTTTAGGCACACAATTACAAGTAATTTTGCAAATTCATCGAATTTGTTTTGTTCACGGGCCACAATACAACCATGGCGTAAGTTTTAAATGATGTTTCTTTTGTAGAAGGTCAGCACGAAGGGAGTAACTGATCGTCTAACTGATACCAGCAGATATACAGGTTAGTTTTCTGTGTTCTGATTGGTTAGTTAGTTTTTGGCAAGATCATGCTAACTTCGACAAGTCTACTACAATTACAATCGTAAGATTATTTTTTGAGGAGTGTTTTTATTTTTACTTTGAAGATATAAAACCATTTTCAACATAATATGGTTAATACAAATACCACTACCAGTAAAACCGCCTACATCCAGGAAGCCACAAGGAAAGATTCGGAACGGACGGAAAAGGTAAAGGTCTGAAAGGAACTAGGGAGGACACCCTTGAATATGATGGCTACGTTGTAGGGTATAAAAACAAGGACACTTACGGTGAGGCTCACTAAGATAATTGACAATGGAATAAAATCTTGGAGAGGATTGGATCTTTTTAAGTTTATAACCTACCAAGACGCGCGCCGAGTTGGATTCGTCGACGGTCTTGAAACAATATTTGAAACAAATATTTTACGAGTATCACCCGTTAAATTGGATTTTGGTCGCTCTTTTAGTTTTGGTGCAAAATCTTCATTAATTCCGGAAACTTTGCACAGGCCTTCCTTATTAACTTATCGAAACACGTTCGGAGAACATTTTGCCATTTTTGTCTCGTTTGTTATGAAAAGTAAAGGGTTAAGGTAATATGTTTGTCAGTAACTTGTGTTATATAAACAAGCATATTAAGCTGATTCCGAAGTCTCTACAACTTTCAGACGCAAAAAGGCAGTTGTATCGTTGGGCCAATATGGGCGTGGTTATTCCCATGATAACTTGTTTGTCTCCGAGCGTGTTTCGATAAGTTAACCCATTAGAAAAGTTTTAAGAGAATCTGAAAATGTTCAGGCCAATTTGATGTGTTTAAATGACTGGACTAACAGAAAGGTACGGATATAGTTTTGTTAATATTAGCTTTGAGAAGAGTAGTTTTATTCTATTTCCAGCTTGTGAAAGTATGGCATAAAGTAAAGAGTTAAACATGAACTTTTAACATTTTATTTTTCGATTTAATTATTGTGTAGATATGCTTTCACTTACTTTTATAATTACTGCTTGATTAAATCTGTTCCGTCTCTCATAGTTATTATTTGACCCAAAATGCCTTTTAAAAGTTTAGATATAAAATTTCCAAGCCCAACATTTCTTATGCCAACACTTCTGTTAGACACAGCGAGCCACCATCCTTACCATTCAGTATCGTAGTGTCTGTAACATTTATATTTTCTGCAGATTATCAATTTATAAATTTTCATTAAATAATTTTTTGTCATTTCGAATTGTCACCAATAAATTATACAATTTACAATTTCATAGTGAATAGAATTTCTGTCGATACTTATTAATGTATAGCAACGTTCGGCATAGGATTTATTTGGTTTCATTTCTATTAAAAAAGATTTAACTTTAATAGGGCGTGAATCGCTTTCATATAATAGTATTATGCACTAACATTGATGAAATAGTATGCACTAATAGTATATATAGATATGTATAATAACTTACAAGTTATTCGTTACATCGTAAGGAATATGAAAATGTTTTCATGGTTACCAAGCTATTGTGGCCAAATATAGTTTAATTAAGGGTGTGAATTTTGAACAAAGAAACTCATGGAATTTACAAATAAAGTTTTGGTCCATTGAATATAATTAAAAATGGTTATTGTACTCGATATTGAATAGTAATTATGCTCCAGATTTGATCGCGTGCACGACGCTTTTATTAAGATTTTTAAGTACATAAGAATTTTAAAACTCAAACGCATATATGTTATGCTTGAAATTTTTTACGGTCCACTCATGAGAATGACGTTCATTTTGTTCGTCGTTCCAAATTTTCAGTCGCATCTTATTAATATAATTTGCTTCGTTCATCTCGATCGTCTATATTAAATCACTTATTCGCATCTAAGATCATCTGCTCACGTAAGATATAGGCTAGGCGTTAACTTTGTCTAATATATTGAAAATGGAAAAATATCATATGCTATGCCTATAGTTGTGAAAAATATCATATGCTATAAGTATAGATTAGTTCTGAATATCATTTGCTGAGTTTTTAACGCTTTGTTAAGTTGTTTATGCCAATTTTTTGTCTTAGTTGTTTATATCCATAAAATTTCACAAATGCCAATATTAAATTTAAATATGCACACCGTGGTGATGAAAATAAAATTCGAAAATTTCATAAAATGTAAGTATTTAGCAAACATAACATGATCGGAAACATGATATTTATAACATTTATAGAAACTTCTAGTCCGGTCACCAGAAAATGGAGGAAACATTTGCGAACTTTTCAAAGTTTGGAGACTCTAAGTCAACCGGAAAGGAATTAGATAACAAGAAATTCAGCAAGCTGTGTAAAGACTCCGGGATTATGGGAAAACTTGTCACTTCTACAGATGTCGACATCATCTTCTCCAAATATAAACCGTAAGAGAACTAATTTTTTATCGCGCTTGTCAATTTAGCTCATATAGTATCGCGCGGAGATTTTACATATAAACCTCGTACGAGTTAATGTTAACACAATAAAATATGACACTCGTTCATCTCAATTCCTTTGCTGGTAGCGATTTAAAATAACTACATCTCAGGAAAGGAGGTAGAACGATAACCCTGAAAGAGTTTAACTTGATACTGGACGAGCTGTGCGTAAAAAGGTTTCCTAAAAAGGAAACACTAGATGAGAAGAAGGGAGCTATCAGGACTCTTATCGCTGGAAAGGGACCAAAGACTAAAGGAACAACGGTTAGTCTAATTTCTAGTCTAGTAACTATACCTTAGTTTCTCTTTTGACGATCTGCTAGTTAAAGTTTGGAATTAGTCTTATATATTCTTATATAATGCAATCTGGTCAGATTAATTAACAATGTAGAATTATGAGTACCTTAGCGCAGTCATAATTGAATCTATTATTTATATTAATACGCTAAGACTTTCGAGAATTTTTGTCAGCTGAACGTACTTGGACACAATTACATATACAAGGAAAACTGCGAATGTATCGAATTTGTTTTGCCCCCGGCCACAATCTTGCTACACGTTGTATACCTCTTTTTTTTAATCGAGACACTAATTTTACTTCGGAGTATTCCAACAGCAACATTGTTACACAAGTACAACCAGCCAATTACACTTACAGGAAGCTGAAGGATTTATTTTGGCCACCGACAGTAAAGGTAGTGTGTACCATACTTTCTTCGCCCGAGACTTTGCTGCAATGTGCAGCTCCTCATTTAACCCTCACACCTGATTTCTCGAGTATTCGGCTGAGTAGACCGGGGGCTGCATAGACCACTCAGGATCCTTAGCTGAACGTCAACGACGCTCACCCCACGACCAGGCAGACAGTGGGATTCGAACTCGCAACCTCACGATTGCAAAGCTGGCGTTCTAATCAACTACGCTACCTGGCCGTTAAATCTTTTCTTAGATAAGGCGCGGTTTCCGCGCGAAAATAGGTATACAGCGTGTGTCAACCACAATAATGACTTTAGTTTTTAACGATGTTTCTTTTGCAGAAGGTCAGCAAGAAGGGAGGAACAGATCGTCTAACTGATACCAGCAAATATACAGGTTAGTTTTCTGTGTTCTGATTGGTTAGTTAGTTTTTGACAAGATCATGCTAAGTTCGAGTTCGGCAAGTCCACTAAAATTACAATCGTAAAATTATTCTCTGAGGAGCCATTTTCAATTTGAAGATATGAAACAATTTTTAACATATTTTTTATACAAATTGTCACTAACGCCGCCTACATCCAGGAAGCCACAAGGAAAGATTCGGAACGGACGGAAAAGGTAAAGGTCTGGAGGGAAGGGAGGACGTCATTGAAGATGATGGTTATGTAGTAGGGTATACCAACAAGGACACTTACGAAAAGGATCACGAAGATAATTGACAATGGAAACATAGTGTTGGAGAGGATTGGATCTTGGTTGCTATTTTGGTTCGCATGTAGATAAAATTACAGAGTTGAAGCCTCATCGTACATAATATTATATGGCCCTTCATTTATGCACATATACCTGCAAATCTTCATTTTTTCCGGAAACTTTGACAAACCTTTCTAGTGGTTTAACTTATCGAAATGTTTCGATATGTTAACCCATTAGCAAAGTTTCTAGAGAATTTGGAAATCTTTAGGTTGTATGCCAATGATGTGTTTAAATGACTGGACTAACAGAAAGATGCTGATACAGTTTTATTAATATTAGCTTCAGCCTTCAAGAAGAGTAGTTTTGTTTTATTTTCAGCTTGTGAAATTGGTGTAAAGTAAAGAGTTTATCATAAACTTTTAACATTTCATTTTTCTATTCAGCCATTGTGCAGATACATTTTCATTTACTTTTGTAATCACTGCTTAATCAAATCTGCTCCGTCTCTTATACCTTATCGGACCTTGTTTGGACGGACATTAAATGAACGGACATAATTATGAACGGACATTAATATGAACGCTAGAAGGCATTCAAAACCATCAAAAATCCGAATGTTTTTCATTTTTAAAAACGTTTTTATTTCAGCAAATGATTTTAAAATCCATTTTATATACAGTAAGTAAGAAAAGCAGTCGTTAAGCAGTAAAAATGTTAAAATATGTGTACATGATCAGTGTCTCTCTAGAGAGCTAGAAAAATATTCATGAAACTTAACACTACAAGACTGCAGCTGGAGTGAGAAACATTATGTAAACATCAAAGTAAAATTTATTTCGGCTGAACCAAAACACGGTGGTAAAACCATAATTACATTTGTGCCGACCAATATTACATATCATCTTCATCGAATGGGTTTTCGTGCATGAAATAGTCCATGCTCATAGCATCAGTGATTTCTAGCTTTATGGAAACCTTTTTTATCAAACTACCCTGGTCCTGCATTTCAGTATTAACTTTTACATTCTACAGACAGACATAAATAATTCTTTGAATTATACTTATAGTAGAGATAATATATATAATTATATTGTATAGAAAATGTATATTATATAGCCAATATAAATACTAATAGCGTATAATAGTATAATACATTAACATACCCATTGTTTAATAATTAACAGTGGGTTCACGTTTTGAGCAATGCTTTACAGCCAATGTTTGAAAAATCAGAAACAACATACTTTTGAGAAACAGTCGAGCGTGCTAAATCACTCTACAGTCGATCTTCGATATTGTTCTTTAGGGGCCCCCGACAGTTGAATCCAACTTCAATAGATGTATTTTCGGACGCTGATTCCGAATCACCCCTCATGACATATATGGTTAAAATGCTCCCCTGACGAGATATTGGCGAAAAACTGTCTCGATCACGTAATAGATATGACCGTATTATAAGGAAGTTAGTCTAATTTCTCGTTATTAGGGTTAGAGTTTCAGCATATGCTTTTGTTAAGGATTGGGTTAGGGTTAGGGTTGGGATCAGATTATAAAAGGGTTAAGGTTTCGAGTAGTCGTTCAGGACCAGCTAGAGAACGGGTTGAAAAAGTCACGTAGTAGTAAATATACATACACCTGACCGGCGGACACCTAGGTGTGAACTGCCCCCGGGGCCTCCCCGGGCTGAGCTGCCCCCGGGAGCGGCCCCGGGGAGCTGGGGAACTGCCCCGGGGAGCTTGGGAACTGCCCCGGGGAGCTTGGGAACTGCCCCGGGGAGCTGGGGAGCTGCCCCGGGAACCAGGGGCAAATAATCGCAACAACAATCACCACAGCAACGGGCACTCCCCCGGAACGGGCTCTCTGTGAGCCAGGTGTGAAATATCCTCGTAACGGGCTCCGGGGACCCTCGAGAGATCGTTCATTTGTTGTTGAGTTCGATTGTTTAGTTTCACACCTTACTCTCGGACTGGAACAAGACATCTCAGATGTAAGTATATTTTTATTTTGTAGCGAATATTCTGTTCACGGGGCACACAAAACTGTCCCGGGCCCTTGTTCCTAAGATCCGCAAGTCCGGTGTGATCTTTCTTAGAGCACGAGGACTTTTATTGCAATAAATCCCTCGGTGTGAACCCGACCCTCCCAGAGCAATAGGTCCCACAATTTGCAGCAAGTACTTGCTATATCAAAATCTACACTATCATATTTCAACTTACCCTCCCGATCTCCGCGTGATCACTCCCGGAATTATTATGTTTATCATAATTTCATATGTGTTATCTTTGAAACAGCAATCTACGACACGGCGAGATCTTGACCAATTTTTGTTTACACTTGATGTCTAGTAATGCTACATAGTATTTCACAAGTCCGTTTTTAATTTTCAACTTGAACTCAAGCTCCGGACACACAGAACTAGTAGCAACAATTGACGCTGCATTATTATTTTGAGGTGCGACAATTGTTTGAAGAGAGGATTTCATAAATGTATCATGAGACCGTGATATGTTGAATATTGTCAAACCTGCTCCCCCGTATTACGCCTGATTTACTTGAAATTCGTTTACCAATTTTGTAAATATGATTATTTGTTGTTATTTCGAAGAGAAGTGACTGAAAAGGTGCCAATTTTTCAATTCTGGGACTTGCAACAAAACGTTAGTTTGTCAGGTGAGTCAGTCATAATGTTAAACTGGAAGAGTAGCGCGGTTGAAACATGTATATAAAATTTTCAATTGTTGAGTATTCTACGTATTCCAACAACATCTTGTTTTTCTTCATTTTGCTAATTCCGGAAGCATTAATTTTACGCTTCCATCATATTGTAAGATTTAAAATTGAGTAATTATAGGACTGTCAAATATTGCAACTAAATTTACAGGGGTCAATAACAGATAGTGATCCAATCACGTGACCGTTAATCCTTTCACGATACAGTATTACTCCTTACGGACATAAACCATGTAGTGGAACTCACAGCTAGGAGCTCTACGTTTGAGACTCTGGCTAGGGAGAACTATGATATCCACCTTCACGAGATGCATGCCACACCAGGTAATTACAGATTGAAGCAAATCCCAGTTACAGTTTTCAGTTTATTCAACCGAATCCGTTTTCCCTTTTGAATTATATGATGATCATTTTGTAACAGTGCTAATTTTCATAAAACATCACGCAAAACATTCCAGGGTCTAGAACTGGTGACGATGCAACAAGACTGAACAATATCAAAACAACATTCAAGCAAAATTGAGCGATGTTTGAGTAAATTGCTGAGCAGTCACCAAGTATATAAAGAGAACAAGGTTGGAAATTCATTTCAATCAGAGATGTCGGTGTTTTGTCCTCTCTGCGATAAACAATTCGCAAACAAGCAAAGTCTGTCCTCACACAAAAGTCGGTATCATCGGAAAAAGGGAGAATCACACACAAGTTCTATCAACCACCCACCGTCAAAAGCTTATGTGACTGATCAAATAAGGGATAATTCCGACCCACTCCATACCCTCCACGGTGAACTTTTTGACACTTGGGTCGAAGGTAAGACAAGAGGCTTCATTACACCTGAAGAAGCAAAGTCTGTGATGGGTATTTCAGACAACACAAATAAGGCAGGCACAGGCCCGACCAACAGGCCAAGTACAGCTCCCCACCATAAACCGGGAAAGAGCTACTTTTACCCCTCCTTGAAAGTCCACAAACTGAGGAAAGACCAACTTATCCCAGGAGTTGAACCGCCAGTGAGACTTATTACAGCACTTCAAGAAGGTATCAGTAAAAAGAGTGATGTGTTTGTAGCCACGAAATACTTAAGACCCCTGGAAAAAGACTTCTGCCAAGACCTCCTTACAGACACAACAGATGCATTAATTTGGCTCGACGAAATCAACTCTAATAAACCCCAAGTTGAAAAGAAAACATATAAACCGTTTACTTTTGACTTCAAGGGCCTTTACGACTCACTCAGCCCCTCCCTTGTCATCGTAGCTCTTGAATTTGCCATGGACCAATTAAGACCCGACTGGTCTATGAACTTCAAAGCTTGGCTAATTTACTTGGTGAACCACAGCCTAAAATCATCTATAGGTTTTTTCGAGAATGCTTGGTACAAACAAATACACGGTGTACCTACTGGAGGTTCTCTATGTGTTCAACTGGCAAACATCGCTGTTATCTACTCAAACCCCACACTAATGGACCAAGTAGCATCTGTTAAGAGATACATTGACGACGGAGCAGGTCAGTTTACAGGTACTACCAGACAGTTTTCAGCATGGATAAAGAAGGTCAACGAAAACATCGCTCCCGATGGCCTTGAAATAGATGAATTCCAAGCAGAAAATACAGCTGAATATGTCAGTTTTCTAGATGTACAGTTTACTTTCGACCATCAAGGAGAGCTTCAAACTGATCTATAAGTATACGTAAAAGAAACAGACTCCAGGTCCTACCTACATTTCAGCAGTAGTCACCCCAATCACATATTCTCAGGAATTGTATACTCCCAGTGTTTACGCCTCAGGAGGATAATCAATTCAAAGGAGAGATTAGAGACCCAGCTTAACATTCTCAAACGGGCGTTTCATGAATCAGGATACCCTAGTAAAATGGCTGACAACATAGCTAACAAAGTCCTTGGCATGGAAAGAGTGTTAGTCAGGAAGAGTACGGTCGAGCCTAATGAACAATCCCCGCTATCAGCCATACCAATCAGAGTCATCTCCAGTTATGGAAGTGACAATGACTTGGTGAATGTTGTCCAGAAATACGAAGGTCACTTGAGACGAACTCGTAGTTTTAGTGAAAGTGAGAGTCAGCAAGCCACAAACTCCACCACAGCACCGAAAGGAAAAGATAAACTGTTTCAGTTTGTAAAGAAAACGGGATCTACGCTTAGATCTCGCCTCGTTACATCTAAACAGCTTGCCTTAGGTGCTAAACATGGTAAAACTGAACCCTGTCACAGAAGAAACTGCAAGTGTTGTAAAATGATCATGAATAAGGACTCCATCACATCAAATGGCAAAAAGATCAAATCAGCCCCTGGTTGTTGCAAGACCTATAACATCATCTATCTTGTACAGTGTTCGATTTGTAAGAAAAACTATGTGGGTAGGACTATTAATAGCTTGCATAAAAGGATGGACGGACACAGGTCCAAATTTTATGAAATCGTTGATGGTAGAGCATTTGATATTACTAGTGATGAGTATAGCCTAGGAGTTCACTTGATTGACCACGGTTTAGGAGTACATACAGATTTTAATGAAACTTTTAGAACTTTTATTTTAGAGAATTGCAGTCCCAGTACACTTGAAGTAAAAGAAAATAACTACATACATTTGCTTAATTCTCTTAGACCTTTTGGCCTTAATACTGTCAATCCCTTTGGATTACCTATATTCCATAAACCTTAATATGATCTTTTTACCTTTTTCGGATTATTAATTTTGTAACGGTTTGAGTTTCACTAACC